TTGGTGCAACAGCCCTACCCAGACTGGTATGGAATTTTCAAAAATGAGGAGCAGATAGGAGAGCGTTGTTGAAAACGTTCATCTCCTGACCTTTGTTTCTTCTTTCCAGACTCCCCCCACTCTAGAAGAAATGGGTCGCTGCAATAGTGTGTATTTATCAGAGGTTGGAGATACGCAAGTTGTTGTGTTTAAGCACGGTATGTATCTTCTGTAGACATTCTAATGCTGCTCTTCTACAAGGATGGTACTCGTGTGTTATCATCTAAAAACTTAGTTCAGGAATGAGCATCTCTCTCTTAACAGAAAAGGAGGATGGTGCTATTTCTACTATACTCATTCGTGGATCTACAGACAATCTGATGGATGATATCGAGAGAGCAGTGGATGATGGCGTGAATACTTTCAAAGTGCTCACAAGGGTAAATACCCAGAATGTTTCTGTTATCAAAACTGAGCAGTGGATCATTTGAGGCATGGTACCTGTTTGCTTTGGGCTTGTTTCTCATGAAAGCATCAACTGCTCCTTTCACTGTCAATTCAGGAGCGTTTTTTAGGTTGAAAACGCTGTGTAGAGAAGACTGCTGCCAGCGTTCTCATGAATATGATGTATTTAAAAGCACTGTTTGTACTGAATTCACTTTTTCAGTCCTTGAAGATGCTCTTTGACCTCTTTATGTGTGCCCCTTGTAATGTTCCTTCAAAACCAGAGAGGACAAAAGCCAGGTGGCCTTTCTTGTCTCTGAAAAGTGGGAGGAACTGTCTGGTTGCAAAGTAATTTTCTCATTCATGGGTCACAAGATACATTTTCCCCACATATCACAGATACATTTTATAACTGAATTCTTCAGTGTTTTTTTTGTGATCAGCTTTTGTGGAGTAAATTTCCTTTTGAAGGAGGAAGGAAATGTTTGAAAACTTACTTGGAAGATGGAATGCAAAAAGACTAAAAGTCTGGACACTTAAAGTCCTGCATTCATGCATATGGACACTGAGTATGGGAACACCCATAAACTGTAGATTTATGGCTGTCTGTAGTTATGGCTTACGTTGATAACTTTTCTGTTTAGAAGTTCTTGAGTGAACACTTTTTCAAACAAAAAACAAAACTGTTGTGACACCTCTTGATGTATTGAACCTAGTTTTAGAGGATTTGTTTTATGCTTATTGTTTCCCGAATACTTAATAGAAAAGGTGAGGAAAAAAAACAAAACAAAACAGAGGAATTCAACCCTCAGCTTATGAATAGTTGAAATAACTTCAAATAAATAAGTTGAAATATGAAGAGAACAAAAAAAAACTTCATTATTATTTTTCTTGAAGGATATTTGGAAGGAATGATTAAATTCTGGTAAATGTCTCTTGATGAAGTGTTCTAAAAAAGCTAAGAAATGGATGTGATGCTTTCTGTTTTGGTATGGTCTGTTCACAGGACAAACGTCTTGTTCCTGGAGGTGGTGCAACAGAGATTGAATTGGCCAAGCAAATCACATCTTATGGAGAGGTACAACTGTTGTTTTGTTAATTTTTTTTTCTTATATATATACATGCTATTAAACAAAAAAATACATATATACATGTACCTACATGTAAATCAGTAGAAAAATGTGAAGGAGGTACCTCCCTTATATTAGTGTTGTTTAAAATGCCTGCCTGGTGTTCACTTTAGACTTGTCCTGGGCTTGACCAATACGCCATCAAGAAGTTTGCTGAAGCATTTGAAGCCATTCCTCGAGCATTGGCAGAAAATTCTGGAGTAAAGGCAAATGAAGTCATATCCAAACTTTATGCCGTGCATCAGGAAGGCAACAAAAACGTTGGATTTGATATTGAGGTAAGTAGTTTCTCCCATTACTTACTGCTGAGCAATACAAGGTTGTATTTAAAAGTACTTCCTTCAGTAGTACTGAATAGTTAAAGATGAATTGAAATCTTTGAAGCTTGGTGTTGCACATTCTACAACTAATGTTTTTTTTTTTAATTCATCAAGCTATTAAACTGGATGTAGCGTAGTAACCACCTGTAGAGGTAAAGTGAGATACTGAACTAACTTGATAGATACAATAAATGTTTAGTGATTACTTTATCTTCCTGTGATGGATTAGAAATGAAGATTTTCTGAAGAGAGAAGATAAGAAAATTGTAACCTTGCAAACTTAATGACTTACTAAGTAGAAGCCTGTATAAACTTAAAATATTTTCCTCCTATTTGAAAGGCTGAAGCTGCTGCTGTGAAGGATATGTTAGAAGCTGGCATACTAGACACATACCTGGGAAAATCCTGGGGTATCAAGCTGGCCACAAACGCAGCAGTAACTGTCCTACGAGTGGATCAGGTAAGCTTAACAATACTTCGGGTGCTAAACTGAAACCTCTGCTATAACTCAGTGTTCAGAACACTAATACAATGTGTGAGAGTGTTCTGGGATCACAAGGCATATAAATCTGACGTTGGAAAACTTGGTTTGTTTAAACTTTCAAAAACTGAGGAATTGGTTTCTTCAGGAGCTCATATTTTGGAATATGAGTGGAGATGTTTCAGCTACCAAATGTTGCTGTTTCATGTTCCTTTAACATTCAATTGATGCTCATGCCTACAAGGGAATCTTCTATAGGAAGAAGGATTATCACGAGAAACCTTTTCCCATATACGATTCTTACATTAAAATCTCACTTCAGGAAAATGTTTATAATCTTAATGGAAAAAAAAAAAGTTTATTTCTTGTGTGGAATTCTAGCAAAAATGTATTTGCATGTAAAATTTCTGTAGATTATTATGGCAAAAACAGCAGGCGGTCCAAAAGTCCCTAAGCAACAAGGACATTGGGATAAGGATGACTGGAGAGATGAGCCTGACAAGTAGTATCAGTAAGCTCTGTCAGAGAAGCATCAGAGTGTTAAAGCATGTGTGAACATACTGACAATCACATGATAAATCTGCTTGTTTCTTGAGGGCATGTAACACTGCTGTCTTATGTGTGCTGATTTCTTATTTCCATCTCATTTGTGCCACAGTGAACGGTGAAATCTTACTCTTTCTAACTAAACTTTCATTGCAGAGATGATGAGTATGGTTCTAGTTTTATCTGCCACTGGAACAAGTGCAGAAAATAAGCCTGTAACAAAGCATTGCTAGCAGGACTTGTGCTTTAAAGGGTGTATCTAGGCTGGAGTTCAATAGCTCTGATAGTTTTGCTTTGTGTTGAGGGCAAGCTGTAAAGCAGTCACTGCTTAGTTTATGTAAGCACTCACATTTTATTAGACTAACTTATTTTGCATGCAAAAGTAAGGTAAAAGCACTTTGTATGTGAGGGCTTAGCTTCTGCCATTTTCAAGAAAAAATGTGTTTCAGTAAGATGGATAATAGTGACTGGGAGTTCAAGTTCAGAGCGGGGAAACTGCATAACTTAGGAAATGTTTTCAGTCAGCATCATAAGGCTATAAATTAAAGGTGGGAGAAAAGTGAGTCTAACTTTTTTTTCTACTTTCTCATCATCAAGATCATAATGGCGAAACCAGCTGGTGGTCCTAAACCTCCATCAGGAAAAAAAGACTGGGATGAAGACCAAAATGATTGAACAATTGTACCACTTAATTACACCATTATGTGAGTTTTGTAATATTCCAGTTGGGACCTGTCATGATGTTTTGTTTTTTGGTCTCTTGCCTTTAAGTTATGAACTGTATCCAGTAGAGTGCAGAACTTTGAACACTTCAATAAACTTACTACTACTAAACTGTTTGGTTTGATTTTTACTTGCAATTATCTTAACACAGTTCTTCCCTGCTTGGGCCTAGCTGTGTCAGGCAGGGGGCGGCCCTAGCCTTGCCTCCCCCAGGAGCTCAGCCACCTCCTTGCCTCTGCCTGGGCAGCTTAGCTTGGTACAGGAGCTGAGTGAGACTGGCCATAAGCCTGCTGTAAGGAATACAACTGAAAGCACAGTCCATAACCTTTGCACCTCATTGCAGTCCTTGCCCTTCTGTGTAAAAAGTTCTCTGAGTTTTGAAATAATACGGTGGTTATGCTGTGGTCTATGCTTTGTGTTGATACACGCATCTCTCTCATCCTCACACATTCAGAGGCTCTACATGCTCAAATCTCAGTCACACAGTGGTGAAACGGATCTCCTAATAGCTTTACAAATGAAGAGAAGGTTAGCTGTTGAGAGGTATCAAGCACATACACGCAGAGCACTGGAAATTTTTCACACAGACATAAAACTTGAAGTCCTGTGCTAAGTTTCCTTGGAGAAAGTAAGAAAACCTGTGTGCCTTAAAGTCCCTTGAAATTCAAACCACTTCAATTTTTTTTTTTTTTTTTTTTTTAATTACTCTTGTCTGTACTTCTTCACAGCCAGAAGGGAGTGGACAGCTAAATCAAGTCTGGAACTACTGCATGCCTAAATAAGGTTGCCATGCAGCAGCTCTACCAGAGCTAGCCTTACAGTTGGTAGCTGGCATGGCTGAAAAACTCAGCAAGTTTTTGGAAGGATTGGCATACTGATTTCATCAGCTGCACAAGTGCTACTGCTGATGACTTCAAGGGTAACGAACACATGAGAGCACTCATTTTCTTAGGAAGGGTGTTGTGAAAAATGCACTGAATGTAAACAGCTGCTGGTCTAGCACAAGGAGCCAGGACTTCATGTGAACCAGTATGAAGCCAAGCCTGGGGAGAAGGACAAGCTTTCTTAATCCTCCAGAACAAAAATACTTAACACTAAGAGCTGTGATCACAGCCTTGTCAATATGCTGCAGTAAGGTGCTTGTACCAAGGACTTCCTAGAGACTTTGCAAATTGAGGGCTCTACTGGAAATAAACCAACAACACAAAGACAGCCAGTACAGAATCTGTTGGCTCTAACACACCTAGAAAGTTCTGGAATACATACTGAAGTAACAGGTAACTGTAGTCAATGTTACAGCTGGTCTCTGGTGAAATGAAAGAGCAGCAGCTGCTTGTTTGTACCAATGTAAGAACACTCAATAGAAACGTCAGGTTCTAATTTTGAAGAAAAAGAAAAAAAGTTCTTTATTTATAAGTAGTGAAAACACTGGAAAAAGTATAAGTTAACCATGTGCCAGCGTGTCTAAGAAGCACTAAGTATACTCTTGCAGTTGCATACAGTAGCTCTACCATGTTAATAGGATTTGCTTGTTCCTGCCTTCTTTTAGGGTGCTGACGGTGGTTACGGCCCAAGAAGACATCTTGGAGGAGTTACAGCAGTCGCTCGTAGAACAGAAGATAGGCTTGTGAGCTCAGCACTTTTGACGTAGACACAGCTTGTACATGGGTATCACTGATGTGGAACCACTGTCCTTTTATTGGTTCAGTTTCTAAAGCTACAAAAGTAAGAATTTCAGAGCAGAAGTAGAGCAGGGATTAGAGCACTCAGTCCCTTTACTGTTCGGCAGTAAAACGTAATTTGTAAAATACAGTTAATTATTTACCTTGAGGAGGTTGTCCTTGAAGGACAAGATCAGAAAGATGGTTGTTCATATTTCTCATTTTAGCATAAGCAGTGTAGTGCCCAGACCTCATTGTTCCACTGTGTTCAACAACTCCATAGAGGGAGTATAATACTTTGGTATTCCCTTCAGCCACATTCTAAAAAAGTGGAAATTAAAGCATGTCAGTGTGGTACTGGCTTTTGAACTACGTTAGAATATAATCTCTTCACTTTGATTTGTTTGCCAATGAAAAGGAAGGTGGTCATCTGTGGTAGTACACTCAAATTAAGATAGCTTTGAAGTGCCACTTGCACTTATCACAAAACATAACCTGATAAGCATTCACCACAGATTTTGCTAAGCAGCAGAACTGTGAAAGCACATTAAAACGTGGGAGAATGCAAATATTATTTCACTACTTACTTTACATTTAACTGTACAGAAAGGAGCCAAGTCTATTACTTCTGGAAACTTGATATGCCTGTTAACCTTCCGTAGGTTAAATCCAGCCTTAAACAGACAAAAAGTAGAAGGAAAATCCATATTTTAAGTGTAGCATATTAAAACTATACTAAATTAATTACTAAATACTTCAGGTTAATTTCTTAGCAATACAAATTAAATGTTACAAATTTAGACAAGATCGTAAGGAAGGAAAATTGTCTCTATTTTTCTCCCATGCCCAGAGTGTTCTGGCATTACCTCCTTGCCCCTACAGGCTGCACAAGTTAAGATGGCTCTTCAGCTCACTCTTATGGTAACTTAATGGTGGCAGGAGAGAATGAATCAACTCAGTGTACACTTCTCTAACTATGAAGACATCTCTTTCTTCTAGATACTGCAGTATACCTAAGGACCTAATTTTAGATTGTCAAAACTGATGGGAATTCTACTCCCAACTTATTCAAATAATCTTCCAGCATCAAACTGGAAAAGCAAGGGAAAAAGTGATAAATGTTATTTCCTTAGTTGTATAATCAGCCTTAATAATATCCTATACATTTGCATTTTCTCTGTGGAATTGCTTTTCATCTACAGTAAGTCACCTCCCTTATTTTATTTTTCTGTCTTGAAATACTTTGACCAAAATTTACATGGTTTTAAATTGAAAAGAGACAATACTGTCTACTATTCCCTCTTTTTTTTTTCCTTTCAAATTTAAAGCCCTACGTGTAAAGCTTTTCTAAGCCTATTCATTAAATTCTTTCAGTGAGGCATCCTGTTCTATCTGTACAGAAACAGAAGAGTTCATCAGCTGCTGCAGTAGCAGGAAGCAGTGTTAACAATGCTGCTGAATACAGTTTGCACTAACAATAGTGAAGGAAAAAAATTATTAAGCAAATAAGCTCACAACAAGAAGTTACTTAGACCCCTACTAGAATGTTTTGCTTTTTTTTCCTCCTGACAAAACACACCCACCTCACCACCCCCTGAGAAACAAAACAAGCCAATGAAACAAAAAGCAACCACAACCTTGCGTGTATCTGCCTCCCAAATGCTGGAAGGAAGAACAACAACAACAAAAAAAAACACAAAACGAGTTTAGAGATAAATGGAAATATGCTACCATCAGATTTAAGTTAAGCTAGCACAACAGCACAAAATCATAATGGCTTGGGTTGGAAGGGACCTCAAGTATCATGAAGCTCCAAGCCCCGTACAGTTGGCAGGGCCACCAATCTAATCTAATACTAGACCAGGCTGCCCAGGGCCCCATTTGAAATATATGCTGTTCATTACCTGCTGGAATCTCTTTAAGTGAAGAGTTAAAATTGGAGGAGCAAGAGAAATCAGCATTTGCTTTTTGGCATTAGTATAAACATGCTTTTCATCTGCAAGAAAGAAAAAACATCAGTGATTAACATGTAAATCCAAGCATTCCACTTTAACACGATGCAGTGTGAAACAGTTCCCATCGTGCAGCTCTCAGATCACAGAATTACTAACTGCTCATACTATGATCAGAGCTAACACACGCAGGATGAGTTCCTGCATGTTCTCTACAACTCTCACAATCTGAAGCTGCATGCTGCTTTCACTGGTCTTTTGAGCAAACACCAACATCATCTCCCCATGATTGTTACGGAAATTCCACATTTGAGAGAAGAAATAACAACCACTTCATTCATCCACATTACAAAGTTCTAGATTGAAATGAACCTCCTGAATTAAAACCACTCCTCTTTAACCATCTGTTCCTGTCCTCCAGGATTCTGTACCCAAGCTTGTGAGCACGCTACTTTACTTGATTAATAACTTGTACCAGTCTACACAAACAAGATTCTCACAACCTACACATCAAATACTATTCTACAGATCCAAGTCAGGTTTGAAGCGACACAAGAAATTACGCTCTTTTAAGAACACCCCCCTTCAACCCAAGCAGCAGTCGGGACATTTGTTCATTTAAAAGATTAAAAAGTATATATAATCAACCATACTTTTTGCGTTCTTTGGTCCATAACGTCTTTGTGTACATACATCACACAGCAGTCTATTGTTCTCACTAAGTTTTTCATTACGGGTAAATTGATACAAACAGTGATGGATTGAGCCTTCTTCTGGGTTCAGGTCTTCCCTGCTAGCAAGAGTACGAAACGCCATTTCTGCATCTTCGGTCAATATTTCACATGTCTTGGCTGGAACAGTTTGAAGGTCATCTATAACGTTTATATCCAATTCAGCACTGGCACCCAAGTGTAGTTTTGAAAAGTCAGCAGCAAGCCCTTCTTCATCTTCATTTTCTTCATCTTCATCTTTCAAAGATAAGTCGTCAAGGCCATTGACAAACTCTACAGGAGAATCTAAGTCTTCTGTGGGGAGATCCCCTATAGACTCCTTTTCTACACATTCTTGCTCTGGCTTTCCTGTGCTTTCATGCATGCTTTGAACATCTGTACTATTTTCCTGTATATTTAAGTCATTTTGAGTTAAGTAGTCATCTTTGCAATCATTTGATGACTCCTCTTCCTGCTTCACATCAGGAATTTCAGAGTTAATTTCTGCCTCTCCTTCCTGGTCACATGCTACATCTTTTTCTGACTCTTCAGTAGCACAGATCTCTGTCAATTGAAGTACCTTTCCCTGGAGTTTTTGCTGGCGGCGCTGGCACTGCAAATTGGTATACATAATATATAAGCATAGAAAAAGCATAGAATCATTTAATTGCTCAGGATGGAAAAGACTTTTAAAGACCATCCACCACGACCTAACCATCCTACTCTAACTCTAACAGCCCTCCACTAAATTACATCCCTGAGCACCACATCCAAATGGTTTTTAAACACATCCAGGGATGGTGACTCAACCACCTCCCTGGGGAGCCTATTCCAGTGCTTTACAAAGAAGTGTTTCCTGATATCCAACCTAACCCTCCAGCAGAGTATGTTTAAATGATACTTAACATTTCTGACCATTTCTTCAGGAAATTCCTTGTTGCACCTCATATCTGGGTCAAAAGGGAGAAAAATACCTACTATTAAGTGATCTGATGTCAGTTTAACTAACTGAATTTATCCTTGCTCAGATGTAACAACCCGACTGCACCCTGTCACATAGGATCAAGGAGATACAAAGGGAATTGCTGTATTTTAAAGACACTTTCTTAAGCCTGTATTCTAAAGTTTTGTGACTATCTTACAACCAAGGAGTGGAGAACCTGACACAAGCACGATGCCCATCTGAAGCAGCATTAATTTCACATTCCTCTGGATATTAACTTATTCCTTGTACAGCAGCTCTTAACAGAATGTATCATTTCTTCACAGCAATGCCCTACATACAATTGGTCTTTTTTGTTGTGCATTTGATTGATTCTAAATTGAAATTCTAAATTCTCCCCTCTTCTTCCATGTAAACTGAGGAAGCAAAAAAAACAAAACTTGTTTTACCCCAAGTTTCAAGTGCTTCTTAGTAAAAATGAAATACTTATCAAAACCAACCTTGGCTTGTTTTTTGGCCTGTTTCTTTGCTTTCTTCTGAAGGTGCTTACTTGTACCAGGGGGCTCATCTCTCTGCTTAATATAATAATCATTGTTTTTACCTTCTTCTTCCTCTTCAGATTCCTTTCCTTTATTTTTTTTTACGTTCCTCTCATTTGTATTTTTTGTTTTCTGGTGGTAAAAAAAGAGAAAAGCCACAGAACAGTCACAGAAGCAGATATGTTACTGTCCTGAATAACAAAACAGCATTCCAGAGAAAACTACAGGAATGTTATTTGAGTTCTGAGCCCCAGACATAACATTTTAGTGATTAATATTCAACCAACTCATTGACGCCAGCCACCCTAATGCTTAGAAGAGATGGATCTCACTCCACGTGAAGCCCATGAGAAATGATGACTTCAAAATGAAACAGTATGAAGAAAATCGGTATATAAGACCCATATTCTGGACCCATAAAGGAACGACCTTTGCCTCTAACAGATGTAAATCTCATCAAATTCACTAAAGAGTAGCATTTCACACAAGTAGAGACGTTTGAAGTTGAACTGCATGCCACACAGTTTGCAGTATTACCATTTATTTGCTTCTGCTAAAATGAAATCTGTTCATTTGCACGATTCCTTTGGTTGAGGGGATTTCATTTCAATATATATTCATTAGTTGGGCAGTGCTACATGGCAAATCTGAAATACTACACATGCTGATTCTTAATTTGAAGCACAAAGCAAATCAAGTATTCCGAGTGTCAATTTTTGAGAGCAGGCAAATCAAATAAGTATTCAGACACTATTCTAGCGTGCTTCTCAATTTTATTCAATATGCATTTAGATTATGAGAAGTATTATTGCACCGAGTGTAGAAAAATGGATGAAAAGTCAGAAAATAAATTGCCCAAGTAGATCAGTAGGCAATCATCACTGTCATGCCACTTAGTTCATCAATAACAGTGAAGGCAAACTAGTAAACATTGTTTTTTGTAACTCAGTTTTCCACAGTAGTGAGAAAGCATTTGAATTTACCAGATTATTCCCTAAGCCAATGTCTACACCAAAGGAATGAACTGACAATGCAGCAAGATCACCAACATACTATCACTGATTTTACAAAGGCAACTTAAGAGCCATAACTTACTTTCATGGGACTTAAATGAGTCAAGCGCACAAGAAAATCTTATTCTCTGCCTTTCTGAGGCAAGATCAGTATTTTAATATGCAAAGAGGCATTTAGAAAGATGCATAAATTAATTCCCAAATGATTATATAATATGTGCTTTCATATAAGCAAACAAAATTAAGCCAGGTGTCAAGCACATACAGGTCCTTACCTGATCATCTAGTACAGGAAGCGACAAATCAAGGAAAGATTCATGGACCAAGGATACCTGTAAATGAACATTTAAGAGTTCAATTTAAGTTTCTGGATGTGGCTGGCGTGCTGTCAATAAGCTTATCTGTATGTATCCTTGTTGCACTCAATGTTGGTTTTTTTTTCCCCACTTATGCATACAAATGTAAAACACAGTCTATCTGTATTCACAAAATGCTATCCACAATCAAATTCTACCAATTCTATTGCTAAAGAAGTAAGAAATACTTTCTCAAGTCTTGGTTTTCTAGAGCATGAGAATACAGCCTAAGGCCTATGAGATTCATTCTGAGATCTGCCAGGATAATCATCTAACCCACTCACTCATATCCATAATGATCCCATTTTTGGGGTGCCTCATCCCCACAGTGCCTTCTTCCTTCACTATTTTCCTAGGAACCCCATGGTAATTCCCACATGGGAAAGGGATTAGGAAAGCCCATTAATTGTCTAACGAAAAAGTAAAGAGAGACCTTCGTAGCATACTGCTGCTGGTAACAGAACAGAGCAATTCATTCACTACAGTTTGCATCACTGGAAGGCATTTATCTGGAATCTGATAATAAATTATTTTGGTAGGGGCAGCTTGCTGCTGCCACCCTCTTTTTTTGGAACTCTTGAAAAGAAATGGAAGATTAGCTTTGTAGGAATAAGGAAGACAGATCTCCAGTCAACCACGCGACTCATCAGCTCACAGATGTGTATTAACTGAAGAAAATCTCTCTAATTCCACTTATTTCTACAAAGTTACTTTGGGGTTCTTCTCAAAAGGACATAAAATCATACTCCAAGGCATTCAAAGCAGGGCCTTTACTCACTGTTCTGCATTCCTCACACATAATCGCACTGGTTAGCTCGCCACCAAAGATCCGATCTACGAAACTTTTTATTCCCTTCTTCTTCTCATATTCTGAGAATTGACAAAGTATACATCACAGTTAATAATACTGCATATAATATACTGGCAACCCATTTAATTATGGCATACCAAATCCCAAAAAATCCCACCAACATTATGCAAGAAGTACAATGCATGTGTTAGTCTGTTCCAGTCTACTCAGGAAGCGCAGTAAGACTCTTACAGTAAGATCCTTTCATATCTTAAAGGAGCAGGTGTAAAAATACATCTGCAAAAGACACCTTGACTGAACTGAAAACATCACAGCTTTCTAAAGTCAAATGCATTTTTTAATTGCCTCAGAACTACCACACTCCAGGAGTTCCTATTTTCTCTCTGGATTTACCTCAGGCAATTGTCTGAAGCTAAAGCTAAATATCAGCTTTCATCACAGTAAGACCTCTATAAACAAAACCAATTTCCTCAAGCTATATTTCCACTGTAGCACATACTGTCTTGTTCCACTACAGAAAAACACCACAAAGGTCAGTAAGACATCATTTAATGTTTTATCATTCAAAGTCTTACGTTCTAGACAGACACATATTCAAGATTTGGCACTCAACATGTATCTTTTAGTGACAGCTGTTGGTGTCAGAATGAAAAAGAAAAATTTATAACTTTATCATAGCATCAGTAACACATTTTTACCTTTAATTTTCCTTCTCAGTTCTTCTTCATTTTGGTTGTCTGAATCAGTCAGAGCCTTCAGTATTCCAACACTTATTCGCTGAAATGTTCAAAACAAGCACACATTTTGCACAATTTTCTAACTGAATTCAGTTAGCTTTATAAAATGCCTCAAAGTGAGACAAAAAAATTCTCTTCACTGTTAAAAGAATCCATACAAACAACACAACTGCCTGTAAAGATAAAAGAGACCTCCTGCATTTTGGTGTTAAAAAAAAATAGCCGACCAATCAAGAAACAAACTTGCAATCATAACATCACAATTAGTATATAAGAAAATTAGTCCAAGGAATAAATACTTTATAAAATTAGAACTGGACAAATACAGCATGAAACTTCCACAAACGTTCCCCCAGATTTTTCAGAAAGGAACACAAAAAGGCATTCTTTAGGATGACTGCACATAGTCCAAGTGACTATTTTTACAGTAGTTTTGAACAAGTCAATCTCCTTTCTGAAGAACAACAGATATTTATATGAAAAGTGTTGAATCTACTCTAGACTTTTAGAGCAAACACAACTGAACATCTCTACTTGATTTTAACAGAACACCATAGAGAATAACAAGTACAATGCTTTAAAAAAAAACAACACGGAAAATATCATTGCATTTGAAACTTAAACAGTGTGTGCAACCCTGAAGAGATACACGATAGGAACAAATGTATTTCTTTGAATATTCTTTTCTAAAATTAAAATAGCAAGACTCATGATGGTCTCTTCACAACGATTCTACTTAGAGCCTGCTATGTTCTACAGCTCTGTTGTCAATCCTCTGCAAATAAGTGCTTATGGGCAGCACAAACCACTTTACATAGGGTTGACCTCTCTGAGAAAGAATGCATTTTCTTCCTTCAGCAGAGATGAAAGTCTTGATCTGAAGAATAAAGTCATGTGCAACTATGAAACTAACACTCACTTGTATTTCTTCTGCTCTCATTCCATCAAGTAAGTACCGAAGCAATTCCTGACTATCTTGCTGCTGATAACCTTTAAATCGTATTGCTCTGTTAAAGGAAACAATAATTGTGAAGTATAGCTGATCTTAGAGATAAGAGTAAAAACAACATGCTCCAGACACAAAAGTGCACAATCTCAAGCATCCATGCATGTAAGAGCACCAAACATCCGCATACGTTAGTTTCTAAAAATCTGAACATATCACTGCATCACTGAATCTCTTCCATTTTATTTCTCTTCACTTATATTTCGCTTTTTACCCTTTCAAAACTTTAAGTACTATGCTAACTTTAAATGCAGTGATGTAAGCTCAAGAAAAAGAGGAAGAAAACTCACCTTTTGTTTAAAGAACACTCCCCCCAACTCTCCCCATACTCATTATGCCATGCAATTATATAGATACTCACTTTTTACAAACCTGAGCAAAAAGTTCCTTAGGAGTGACTACCCCTCTCTTTGTCTCTTGCATTTCTGTCAGGAATTGATGCATGGCTAAAGTCAAAGGACCTGGCTGATCTAGTTTTACCAGCTGAGGTTCCTGTTTTAAACAATAACAACAGAATTGGTTTGGTGACTGATCCTTCGGGATTAGGATTTTCCCTCTCTGATTTCTCGACTTCTTGAAAATACTCTTACAAGACAGAACACACGCAATTTCAAGATGGCATTGTGTTACACTGACAAGAACAAGCAACAAATGGTTTCCCATCACATAATATCAAAACACTGACTTGAAAGTCATTAGCTACTTTTTTTTGTTCAGTTGCAAGTCCATATTTCTTGCTTTTATTTAGTGCTTTAACCCCTTTTTTTTCCCAGCCAAATCCCCACTGGGTTTGTACTGGAGACATTTTCTAGTTCCCTATGTTGCAGTCAGATGAATGCAAATGTTATACAGTTCCATTTCTTTGAAGATGAAAAGCACTACTGACTTCAGCAGCAGCTCTGTTAAATTCAGTGGTGAAGTTCACACTGATTTTACATTTTAATCTTGTTGATAGTTAAGCAGTTTTCAAATCTAGAGAAGAGAGTATTGCTTGCTTTTTTTAATCAGACCTGAGGAAAACAAACAAACACAATGAAGGTTGAAACATATATACCATGGACAACTCAGGTGACTCAATCTTAACTGTTGTGTCAGGCATTTTAGCTTCTTTAAGCAGCTCCCTCAGGACTGGGGTCTGTGATAAATTCTGCAGAAGACAAAGGAAAGAAAAATAACCAGGGAACTGGTAGCCAGGGAACAATAGGAAGGGAAGTTCCACTTGCCACGTGTTAGCAACAAGATTAACAGTAAGTTATATTTGCCAACCACAACTAGAGAGTTAAATATGACCTTGGACACAAATCTGGAAATTCTATAAATGTTTAACTGCTCAAAGTAAATCCCACAGAACTAAAGGGACTTGCAAATATCTTCTCTCTATATTCTCACTGGTCATAGAAGCCCTAGACGTATTCTACAGACTGACCTTTTGATGGTCTACTTACTAGAGTCTGTTTTAAATCAGAAGGTTAACCTAGTGCACATATTTATTCCCTTGCTTTTAGATGTATTAAAACATAAAATCAAGCTGTTCATTAAAATCTACAAGTGCAATGGGAATTTTGCTCAAGAAAAGCCAGCAGCCAAAGAGTACAAGGTAACACGCAAGTTTTAAAACATTCAGAAGAGGAAGCTTACTTAATCTATGCATTTCTTAGCTAAGAAAAACGGCAATGGAATATGCTGATCCAGCTAATATTTTCCTCTATTTGATTTCCTGCTGCTTACAGCGAGTATTTTGTTTCAGTAAACATCCATGGTCTTTGGGTATTAATGTCATATTCTAAGAGGTCAGGAAGGGTAACATACCAGGCTACTTTACAATGTATTTTTACATTATTACTAAATTTGGATGTTGGCATGCTTAATCTCTATCAGTAAAAGATGCTGTCCCTCAAAGGCAAGGCAATTGCTTAGACCTCCACTTAGTGCAAGTCTGAACCTGTAGTGCCATTCCTTCATATTGCTCTGGGCCAATGCACTATTTTTAAAATGAACCCGTCATTCTTGGCAGATAAAAATCATATTTTACTGGTGCCATTTCTTTGCTTGATTTTTTTATTCTTTACTTTCTAAGAACAGCAGTAACTACTGTACCTGCATCACTGCGTTAAAGAAACATGTATTCCCCAAGTTACTAAGTCCTTTCACAGTCACTTCAGAGTTTTCAGAGTTGGTACTGGAATGAGAACTCTCTTTCAGCAAGACTTCTTTTTCTTGCTCATTTCTGCTGTCTTTTTCTACTTTTTCAATTCCAACATCTTTGTTCTCTTGTTGCTTTTCTGCTGAAACAAAGAAATCTATTAATCCAATAACAACGAAGGGGCAAGGATAAAGTAGTGATATGCAGGAGCAAACTATGATGTTTGAAACATAAACATATGATAATTAATTCCATAATCCTACAGATGCAAGGTTCTTAACTCCTACCACTTAGACAGTCTAAAACAAACAAGAAACTTTCGAAACACCATTTCATATCAGCTTAGCACTTAAACATGACACTCAGCCCATTCATGCCAACAATCTCTGCAACTCAGCATGTGTTATCTGAAATGTCATTCCCGTTGCAACATCCTCTATGTTAGGGGTTTCTACAGCATCCAACAAGATGGCATCTGGCCCTCTTGATATGGCATTATTATCTGAAATTAAAGTCAAAAGGATTCCCACTGTGAAAGAATCCTCATGTTTTCCTTATTAATATAAATAGATGAAACAGAGAAGAACATATTCTTCAAGAGACATTAAAGATATTTTCCCCAAAATTACCTTGGTGTATAGCTCAAAATTCCAATGACTTGTTTAACAAACCTATCAGGTAGTTTTCAGAATAACACCTGCACCAGTTCTACCAGTTTGGTGGTCTACCCTTGATAAGGTTTCTGACAAATAGGGCTGGGAGTCAAGGTAACTTTTAGACAACGTAAAACAGCTCTGAGAAAGCAAAGAAATGGACAATATCATATTTACTGATGAACAAGGAAAGAACAACTGCTGGAATTTCTGAAACAGGCAACCAGAGGCAGGTATGAAATCAGCAGTCTACTTCAAATCTGAGAACAAATATTCCAGCAAGCAATCTAAGTCCAGATACTACATGCAATGAAACTACTTATCTGGCAAAGACGGAGCAAACACACCCAAAGATTCTGATCCCCTTTGGGAAAAGCTCAGCTGATTCCTGCACAAAATATTCAGAGACAACTACTTGGCGTTGCTGGTTTGGGTGTGATCTGTTTCCAAAAGGGGCTATGAGGTGACTCAAGCGTAGGACAATGTTGGAAATCTTGGTAGGAGTTAGAGCATTTATTTTGCTATGAAAACTCCCCCAAGTGGAAATGCCTTGCAGAGAAACAGTTTTGCATAACACAACATCCATAGCATAGCAAACTGGAGGAGCAGGTTGGGCTTTTTGCTTTTAAACATCCACATTTTGAAGGTAGACTGCAGAGCTCTCAACGCTTTGCAGCAACATGTACGCCCTCAGAAAACAAATCTTCTTATATCCTAATGGAAGGAGTATATAAGCTGCAACAGCTGAAGACCTAGCCATTCCAGCTGATACTTGCAAATGTCTACAAAAATACATAAAAAATAGAAATCAAATTACCTTTCAGCAACAACAATTCATTTTTTTTCCCCTCAAATCTTGAGAGACTGGGCAATACTGATGAATTAATAGGACCCTTCTTAGTACTGAAAGTCGATTATTTAATCACAGCACATCCTAATAACATGCTTAATTTCCTGCTCCTCTTTCATTTTTCAGTCTGTAAAAGTTCACGAGAGTTTAAGAAAAATCTGGTCCAATTAAGTCTATGGGCTAGAATGTTTTGTTTTCAGAACTAACAAAGAAAAATCAATGAAAAAATTAGCCGTTTAAATTATCATAAGATACTCTTTAGTAAGCAAAGAATTAATGAACATTCTTAATTTACAAAATTATCTGCTGTATTTAAGAGTCTTTCTGATCTACTCTATGGATACTACAGTTACTTACCTAAACGTGATGAGCTGACACAAACTTGTTTTTTAATATAATCCACAGTCTGGCCCAAACGCGTTGAAGTGCTGTATGGAACTTCATTATCACATACGTAGCACCTGTGGTGGCCCACCCACACCCCCCCCAAAAAAAAGATAACAAAAATTATTCCTATTTTTTTTTTTCCCATTACAATTCCTAAACTACTTACTCATTTCATGCAATTAATTACACAAACACATAAAATTACAAGTTATGGGGGTTTGGTTTTTTGTTTTTGAAGATTCTGAAGTCTGACAGAAGAGTGCTCAATGTATTTCTGATTAAAAAGTAAGTACAGTGACCTACACACAAAAACGAGGCCTCGAGACCTGTAAGGGAAGTGCTTTACAAACCTAGACTGCATGCAAAGGAAGCATTAGGCAAATTTTGGCCAAATAAAGGAAGTCAGATAATAGGCCTTATAGGAAATGGCCTTCCAATCTCATAGCACTGAAAAAAATACCTGATTATTTTTGTGCTCCATTAGTTCTGCATGCTTTTTTTCCCCTCTTTTATTACTGAAATAAATCTATTTGTCTCTTCACAAGCAAAGAAGTAACTAACCACAAGCACATAGTTACACCACTGATCTGATTTCAACAAAGTTTTGATAGAAATTACAGTGATAAAGGCTTGAGTAAGGGTTAATTTTTGCTGGAACACATAAAGCATATGGAGAGTTGTATGTATCAATATTGTAGTCCCATTCAATCAACTATTTGAAGAGGTCTTAAAAGCTACTGAAGGGAATACAAACACTTCTGCACTTAGAAACATGGCAATTACAGTTATTAGGCACAAATGCATTTAGCAGATCTCAGGATTATCTATAACTTTCTGATCTGAAAAGCAGCAGAAGCCTGCAGTAAATTGCTTCCCTGAATCTCTAGCATCTTCAGTAGTAGCTATGATTTTTCTATTTTTTTTTTCTTTCCAATGTTTCATTAAAATACAAACAAAAACAACAACAACAAACCCTGGCTCTACCTGTGGAATCCTTGAGTATGTATTTATTGTCAGTTTGTTTAATTGTAAAAATTGGCATTCTCACTCCTAGAATAACAGATGACAGTTACTTCCATGGGCAACTTTTAACACAATAACCTTTCAACAACTACTTTTATAGGAAGTCTTGAAGAAATCAGGAGATTAAAATTAAGTTTCTTCAGTGTTGCCAGTTTGACTAATGTGTGAAAACCATCATTAGATCCAACTGTTAGGTCCTACTGCAAATGTGTACAATGACATTTCTTGTAAACCCCAAAGAGTAGAAGATACCGAATCGCTAGAGCTCTCCTCTTTCTCTCCATATTCAAAACTGCTTACAGGTATTATTCGAGTCCAATTTCAATCATGTATGCATATGCAGTCTGTACATTAATTGATAAATTCATAGCATTAACAGATGCTGATTAAAATTGCTTTTGACTTTTTGGTTTTATGTACTAAAGTCACAGTGAAATACAGTTCTGGATTGTTCTGATTCATGACAATACTTTAAGCCCAATACCCAGTTCTCTGGTTATAACATCTCATACAAGTTCATGCAAGAGAAGAAAGCAAATATTTTGTTTAGACAACTTTCTCTCATTCAATAGTACTTTCATTTAAAAACTATGGATATTTTCCAACAAAATACCTCAATTAATTAAAATCACAACTACTTAATTAAAATCACAAAAAAATTCATTAGTTCATGAGTAATATACACGTATTACTAAAACTGCATCCAATCAAGAATAGTATATAGAACCATGACAAAATATTAATCATCACATGTATGTGCTAAATACGATCACATAAAGAGACAGTCTAATATAAAAATCAACATAATGATGAATAATAAGTTTAGAAGAAGGTGACTTTAAACCAAATCAAAACTATGCCAGATACCATACATCTATACAGCACAGTTGAGGATGCTACCATTCTCCATTACACACTAATGTACTGCTTCTTTAAAGAGAAGAGAATATTACCAGGAAGACAGAATTCATATTAACTGACTCAATAGCATCATTTAATCCTGCAGCTGTGCCTCTTGAACAATGCATCTTGTATTAAGAGGTCATAATTACTTTTGTTTTCTCAGTAAGTAAGGCTTTCATTAAGTTTGCACCAGAAAGGAGCTTCTACCAAGGATCAAAGTTAAGATTTAAAGCTATATAACATGTTTCTGCGTGTCAGTATTTTGACCAAGCGAAAGCAGTAAAATAAGAAATCAACAGCATTTACTGATTGGTCACTTCTAAGCTCAATTATAAAAACATTCTATTTAGGAGTTTTACAAGAGAGTAATATTTACTCAGCAGATCTTAACAAACACTACTGTGTGTGGAAACACTTCACACATTCCTAAAGCACTCCCAGAAATCACAAAGAAAACACAAGATATCCCAGCCTCTGTTTCCCTCTAGCTACATCTTAACTGTTTCCTGACAAACTCACCACACACTCCAGTTGTCCAAACTGAGAACCAAACAATGGGAATCTGATCTTGGCGTTGTGTAATGCTTTAAAGCATGCTGCTCTTGAGAATTTCTGCCACAGCCCTATAATGTTGATAACCAGAAGTGTCACAAAATCCAGTTTTGACTATCAATGAAACATAAAAAGAGTCAGAGTATAAAGAAAGTATTTAAACGAAAACCATTCAATTATGTTCAACCAATTAGGATTAATAGATGGCTCTTTATTTCAAGACATTTGTTCTGCAGACAGAAAAGTACCTTCCTGAATGCAGAATAAACACAGAGTCTTTTGGGGACTGAAAATCTAATTTACAAATTCTAGTTTGAACAGCTTGAAGAACTCAACAGGAAAAGAACAAACAAGCAAACAAAACCAAAAGCAACCAATTGTTTGGCATGCAGAGTTCTAACTTCAACAAACTAATGTTAGCACAAGATATTATGATGAAAATAAAAAATTTAGAGCATTAACATAAATTTATACTTTCTTAGAAAAATAATTTGGACTTTCACTGAAAGCAAACCCTCAAGATTGTGTTTTAGCCTTAAGTCTGCTAAATGCCTTTGTGCCAAGCTTTGAAGTACTTCATGTGCAATTCAGAGCAGACCTTTCCCATAAGACTAACGTATATCAAATCACTCACGTAGCACATTTAAAATGATAATGAAAAGGTGTAACTGTTTAATTAAAGCTCTATTGTTCCACTCTATTATGAGGCACTGCAAGATGTTAATAGAAATTAACAAGAAAACAAGAGATACCCTATGGCCACATTTTAGACATAACCATATTGGAGGGCTTTCATCAGTCTCTTCCTCATTCTCTTGTGTCTTGTTGGCTGCCTTGCAGTCCTGACAAACATGCCATTCCACATTCAGCAGTGCCTTTTTCAGATGACTTTGTTCCAGTCCTTTACGAATATGCTTGCATACAGGCTCTACAAAACATAAAGCACAAGAATCTTGTAGGTATCGTAACAAATGTGGAATGTCTATGGGTTTCAAAGACGCACAATATAATCCAGAAACTGTGATGATCTCTCCAAACTCAAAGGAACACTGAATGACAACTTAGTAGACATACCAGAAAACCCATTCAGAAGCCCATACTTTGTTACCTCCACTCACAATCTGAGCACATTTTTGATAAATTCTAAACTCCTGCATTACTACGAAAAAAATACTAATTCAAATATCACTCATATCTACATTGTCAAAGCTTTTGGTTACAAACCTACCTAATGAGCCAGGCTGTGGGCTTCTACTACTGTGGTGTTACGATTCCCACACCTCTCAAGGAGCAGCCACAGCCCACTGCCACAGTTCCCAGTCACCAGGGCAGCACCTGGCTGGCCTATAAAAGTGGAGATTGTGGAGGTTATGCTTCCAGCTGAGCTGCTCAGTGAAATTATGCAGCAGATCGTGGTTAAAAAAAAAAAATAATGGCAGAACCATCCCACTTTATACCGTCATCATTTTGCACTCTAACACTACATTCCACATATAGCTACATCTTCTGGGCCAGGTTTGAACTTCATCTATTCAGACTCTGTTTACACCGAGAAAAAGTGTTTGCTGCTAGAAGGTTTGTTTTGTTGGTGGTGGTGGTGACATTGTCACTCGAGAGCGAAGATAAGCTACCTGTATGCTTAAGTCATATACAGAGAAATTGGGCTAGAAACATACATAGTCCAGCCATTTTATTATCATCACCCTACAATTCCTCACTATTTGCAGTTACAAATGTTTAAATTTGCAAATAGAAGGTCAAATACCTGACAGTATCAATAGGTAGCTCAGAAAAACAAGACAGAGTAAAGAAACTCATGCTGAAAGAAAAATGTTCTCTGTATTCCATACCTTAAACTAACACGCTTTAGTGAAACTTCTATTGAAAACAGTTACCTTGTCCTTTACATAATTCAACCCTTATTAACTTCTTGCTACAGAATTACTGCTTTCCTCTTCAGAACCAGAGACTTCTCAGAAGAAACCTACCCACTATATCCAGAGACTCATCAGCCTGTGCAGTTTTGCCTTTGGTGCGTTTCTTTCCCATATTTGTAGTCTATGATTTTCTTCACACACAACAGTGACCTAGCAATGAAAAAATCAGAAATTAGGTTTAGGTTTTATCTGTTAGTTGCTAGACAATACGCTGTTTCTGTGGCCGAGATACTCCTTCAGGAAAAATTAACTTGTAGATTGACATTTGCAAAAGAAATTAATTCTAATTTAACAGAAGCAACTGTGACTGTGGTAGAAACAAGAAGCCAGCATGAATTATTAAAAACGGGTTAAAACCCTAAAGCAAAAGCAACGCAAAGGAGAACAAAGTGAATTAGTTATGTACCAAAAATCCTACAGATTTTCAGAACTTGGACTTTAAGTAACTAGTAAAACAGCAATTCCAGGAAATGAAACTGACTTTTTCCCTACTAAGTCTTCAAGACTTGCGCAATTACAGTCTTTCACTTTTGTTTTTTGTAAATCCCTTGCATCGTTGATAAGACCTGACATGCGCGAATACTCGAACATATGTAAAAATATACAAACAATGGGATTCCATCTTCTAAATTACTTTGTTGGAAGAAATTTATCATTGCTTCCCAACATTACAAGAAAATACAGGGGCTGGTATTTGGCATACCCATAAACCCTTCTACAAAAAACAATCTACCACTACAGAGCCCTATGCCAAGAGGTCCCTTCAAAACGTTTGTTGCTTGTCTCACCTTTAGCCTGGAGTTCCTGCAAGGCTCTGAGACTTATCTCACAGATGTCAGAACTGACATTTGCAAAAATGCAAATTGAAAGGATGGAACACCTCCTCTGCAAGAACAGGCTGTGAGGGCTAGAGCTCTTCAGCCTGGAGAAGAAAAGGTTCTGGGGAGAACTGAGAGTGGCCTTTCAGTATCTACAGAGGAGCTGTAAGAAAGAAGAGGACAAAGTCTTTAGCAGGGTCTGCTGTGATAGGGCAAGGGAGAATGGTTCCAAGCTAAAAGAGGAATACATTCGATTGGATAGAAGGAAAAGGGTGGGTGTTTTTTGTTTGTTTGTTTGTTTATTTTTTGCAATAATGATGGAGAGGCAGTGGAACAGGCTGCCCAAAGATGGTGGATGCATCATCCCTGGAAACACCCAAGGTCAGGCTAGACAGGGCTCTGAACAACCTGATCTAGCTCTGTCCCATTTGTCACAGAGGGTTGAACCAGATAGCCTTCAAAGGCCCCTTCCAACTCAAATGATTCTACAATACTATGAAAAAAGTTCCTAATTGAGTCCCTGCAGATTCATGCACGCTTTGCAAGCTGGCCTGGTTCTGCTCTCCACCCTTCAAGTCAGCTGCGGGTAAATGCGTAAGCACAGAACTCAGTCTGACTCATAGCATCCATCCTTTCGAAACCAGGTCTAAGCTTGGAATCAGCACCACACCAAGAAAACAGCTGCCTGCTTGCTTCTGCCACAGCCAGAAAACAAAACCAGCATAAACAAATCAGCATAACTGAGCTTGGGACAGCTCAGACACACTACATACAAAGGACTTTTTTGTATGAAAAACCTTTTAAGAAGCATGCTAGTAGAGCTGATGACCCAGATGTTAAATGAGAAGTAGCAGAATGGTTAAATGATTTCAAGAGAAGCTCCTGGGGCTGCTCAAGGCCAGGTTGGATGGAGCCCTGGGCAGCCTGAGCTGGTGGGGGGCAGCCCTGCCCAAGGCGGGGAGTTGGGGCTGGCTGGGCTTTGAGCTCTCACCCAGCCCAAATTTTTCTCTCACGCAGCCCAAATGTGATTCCATGATGACATTTATAAATATGCATTCAGTTTATTCAGAAGAGTTCATCCAAATTCCCTCCACAGCACATTTTTTTTTTCCACAGAAAATCACAATGCTTGGTCTTTAACAGTCAGTCCTAAGCCATTACAGCCCTTTCCAAGCTGATTTAGCCCCAGCCAGGCTGATAGGTCAACACCAAGCTGTTCACATAACCTGCTGCAGTCAGCCAGACACGTCTGACAGGATCTCCGCCAGCAACCTATGCTGGGAAGTGGGCGACAGAACCCAATACCTAACTCAAGGAAACTCTGGGTTTGGTTTCAATTGACGACGGCTTTATTTTTTAGCAAAAAGCACTCTGAAAAGCACTAAAAGCGCAGGGTAATGCCCCCAGGACGGCCAAGCCCAGCGGTCCCACCGGTTACCTGCTGCCAGCAGGGAGCCGACACCCCTATCCCGCGGCGAGAGCCGGACAGGGCCGGAGGACTTCGGGATTGGAGCTGGGGTTGGGGCTGGGGTCGCGGCCACGCCACCTCACTCACCGCGTCCCGCGCCGCTTCACGTGTCGCCTGCACGGCCCCACTCCGGCCTCTCTACGAACCAGCACGCGACTCCGCCCTACTCGCTTCCAATTGGCCAAAAACGCCTTCGTGTCTTTACTGACAGACGGTGCAGCCAATAGGAAAAGACGAGAACCGCGGCTGGAGGAGAGACAGCGGACAGCCGGCAAAGCAGGTGTCGGGATTGAGGTAGCCGGAAAGTCCGGCGCGCCGCCGACCCTCACCTGCTCCGATCGCAGCACGGACGGCATGGCGATGCATGGCTCAGCCCCAGGCAGTCGGCAGCTTCACCTCAACCCTTAGCAACGGTCAGCCGCTGCCGCGCGTACTTCCGGGCGCGCTGCATTGTGGGCCGGGAGGGCATAGGGTGGGCCGTGGAGGGGAAAGGGAGGAGGTGGTGGCGGCGGCGGCGGCGGCGGCGCATGCGCGTTAGGTGGGTCGTGGTGGCGGAGCGACGGCCGGGCGCTTGGAACGGGCGCGGGTGGGGGCGCGGGCATGGTCACGGTAGTGCGTTGGAGCTGGGTGAGCTTTGGGCTCCCTTCCAACCCAAAGCATTCTGTGATTCGATCGTGTACCATTACAAATTAATGGAGCTGTCGCATGAACTTCATGCTTCCCCCAACATCTATGAATTAGTTTTGATGGAGTTGGTTTTAAAGACTAATTTGGCTTACGTGGGGGTATATGATTGAATTCTTCACATATTCATACAACATACATGTATGTTTTTCTTTTCCCTCACTTAGGAAGCTGCAGAAATGACTAACCGAGAAGAAGCCGAGATACAAATATCAGAATTAGATTTACTCTCTAGCATGTTTCCATATGAGGAAGAGTTCACTGTGACCGACCAGCTGGCAGTGGCAGAACTAAAGCACTTCATTGACAATGAGTCTGCAGAGATGCCATCTTCTAAAATTCAGTTTGTGCTGAATGTGAAGCCAGAGGACTCTAATGCCTCTATGGTATTACAATAATGTTTTGGAGAGAGTGTTTTTGTTATTTTATGATTTATTATTATTACTTTTTTTCCTAAGACTATATTGAGAGACACCGAGGTTTCCTCAAACTTAACATGTGCTTATTTTTTTTTTTTTAGGTAAAATTTTCTATGGTCTGTGCTTTACCATTTGAATATCCATCTGTTCTACCAGAAATTACCGTGAGGTATGTTATTAAAAATATTGCTAGTAAAAATAATTAGAAGCTGTTGTAATGTGTAAATAAAGATCTAATAGCAAACTACAGTTTGGGTGTTTTTTTGTTTTTTGGTAACTTACCAACAAACTATTCAAATTTGTTCGCTAGTCAGATTTGGCCAGGTGGACAGTGGTGCTGAAGAAAGTCATACCTACAAGAATTTGATTTCATCAATCACCTTGGCAGATAAGACAAAAAAATGGGAATAGTGAGGAGGAGTTCCATCTTCCATACAAAGGGGTTTGTGTACATAGTGTTCACTGGTCTGATGCTCAAGCAGAGTACATTTTCCATTTTGACAAGGTTTAACTCTCTTGAGAGGAGTGAGAAGTTACTGGTATTACTCTTTCTTGGCCAAATGCTGTTACTGGCAGACCTCAAGTTTTTGATTTATTTTTTTTTTTTCTTGGACATTTCTCTTTAAATGTCATTTTCTGTATTTTCTGTCATTGTGTGTTACAGAAAATTAGTTCAGTCACCTTGCCTCTTCCTCATGTGCTTTTTCCTTCAATCTGATTTTTAGTACTGTACCTGTACTCAAGGGTTAGCACAATAATTGAAAGCTTTTTATGACATTTATATTTCACATGACTTAAGTGTCAATAACAAGTCCATATGGCCTGATTTGTTTGGTAGCCTAAGTAAACTGTCTGAAAAAATATGGTAGTCTGTAAGCATATCACAACTCCTTTTTTCTTTTCTTTTTTTTCCTGTAGATCACCATTATTGAGCCGCTCTCAACAAGCCCAGCTGAACTTAGATCTAAAAACGTATTTGATGCAGAACTGCAGTGGTGAGCCTTGCATGTTGAGTGCCAGAGAATGGATTAAAGACCAGGCAGCTGCTTACATTGACAGAGAACTTTCATCTTCCTCAGTGACGACATCTAATGCTGTTCGGTCAGAGGACGTCGTTTTCACTAGATTGTGGATCTATAGTCACCATATTTACAACAAGCAAAAAAGGAAAAATATTATAGAATGGTCCAAGGAACTCTCTCTGTCAGGATTTTGCATGCCTGGGAAACCAGGTGTTGTTTGTGTAGAAGGTCTGCAAAGTAGCTGTGAAGAGTTCTGGTCAAGGTTAGCTTTTCTTCGTACTTAAATGCTGTTAATATTAAGAATAATTTGGTTTTTTTGTGTTGCGTACGTGGGCAGAAGATGTGACACTCAACCACCTTCTAGCCTATAAGGGTCTGCAGAGGTTGTGATTTTTTTGTTCTTGTTGTTGCTTTTTTTTTTTTCCCCATAATGTGCTTGCAACTCTGAGTATCCACTGTAATGGCGGTTATAGCAGTCAAAGCTACTAATACTGCACAGTGCACATATATTTCTGTTTTTATCTTGCTCTGTATTACAGAGGTATAGCAATGGACAGCAGTACTCCATTCTTGTTAGATATGTATATAGTTGTATTGCTTTATGTTCACACTTTATTTTGCTCCCATCACTCATATTGGTAGTAGAGACTAAATGAACATAATTATTTGATTAAAAGGATTTGACAACACGTGGCAAGAATGTTAAAATTCTTAGCACAACAAGGCAGAAGAGAGTACTGAAGTTGAATTCATCAATTATTTTGTGAGGAGACACATAAGGGTTTTTGAAGGAGATTAAACAAGCTGCTGCTTGTGGGAGTTATTTACATGTGAGCAGTATTCCTATAACCAACTAAGGAACCATTAGTTCTGTCCCGATGTACGTAGGAAACAAATCTGTTGACTTTTGTGATAATTGCTAGTTCGTCCTATTTTCTGAAAGAGTCTGTATCTTAATAGGTAGGTTGACATTTCTCCATTTGCTTTCAGAATAAGAAGACTCACATGGAAAAGAATACTAATTCGGCACAGAGAAGATATTTCTTTGGAAGGTGGATGTCTTGCTGAGATTCAGAAACAAAGAAAGTTCTCCGCTTTGGAAGAAAAATGTTTTGATGCACATGGTGCTAGAGGAAATCATATGGATTTGGGGCAGCTATATCAATTTTTAGAAGAAAAAGGATGTGCTGACATTTTTCAAATGTACTTTGGGGTTGAAGGGCATTAAATCATCACAGGTCCAACTGCCTACATTTCTAAGTTAATCCTCATAACAGATTCCTTAGCTTTTCTGCAACAGTTGATCAGAGAGGAAATTTGTAATTCTTTCTTAATGTGATTTCCAGTTTTCTAAGAAAACAAGTAATCAACGACAGCTGAATAATGAAAATGACTGAATGAATGGACACCTGAATACTTTCCTGTGCGTCCTGCTCTAGGTAACTGCTTTAGCAGGGGGCTGGACTCAATGATCTCCAGACATCCCTTCCATCCCCAGTGATTCTGTGAAGGTGTTATTACAGCTGCTGATTTTAAGGACCTTTGCATACACACTGAATTACAAAAACTGTTTGGTAGCCTAATGGGTAGAATTACAGAATGTGGGATTGTAGTGAGTGAATATGTGAATAGGAAGAAGAGGAAAAAAAAGTGTGTGCATTGGAGAAGAAATAGGATATTTACATGATTTATTACTGTTTATGTATGCTATACTCAGCTCTAACTATGTTTTCTATTGATTTCTATATGAAAGCTTATGAAGCTGTGAGATCAATTTTCATTTTTCAGGGGAAATGGTTTTAAGTTGAGGGAGGGAAGATTTAGGTCGGATGTCAGGGGGAAGTTCTTTACAGATTGGTGAGGTACTGGAACAGGCTGCCCAGAAAGGTTGCATGCCCCATCCCTGGAGGTGTTCAAGGCCAGGTTGGATGGGGCCCTGGGCAGCTTGGGCTAGTATTAAATGTGGAGGTTGGTGGCCCTGCATGTGGCAGGGGGGTTGGAGATTCGTGATCCTTGAGGTCCCTTCCAACCCTGGCCATTCTGGGATTCTTAGAAAAAAAGAGCAGACTCAGAAAAGCCTTATTTATGCAGATAGAGTGAGCTCGGGTATCTTTTGTAGTGACAGTTCGCGGTGATTTTGTTTGATACGCAGGGATTTCCCCGGCTGAGAGTACGCAAACCGCCAAGCACTTGTAATTTTACACAGAACACAGCGCCTTAATAATGGCGCCGCGCCCTCCTCCAGGTGCGCGTACGTTCAGGCGTGAGGTGGAGGGGCGGGGCCAGCGAGCGGGCGGGCTCACGGGGGAGGCGGGACTTCCGCTGGCTCCGCCCCTCTCGCGCGTCGCTGCTGCTCGTCTTTCCGGAAACGCCGCTCCTCGGCCCGTAGCGCAGCCGCAGCCATGGGGGGCAAGAACAAGCAGCGCACCAAGGGTAACGTGCGGGTGAGTGAGCGCTGCCGCCTTCCTGTGCTAGTCCCCTCTGTGGGGCCGTCTTGCCCAGCCTGGGTGGGCGGCTGAGCTCGGCTTCGCGGTTCGTGGCCTCCGCCGCTGGCGGGCAGTTGAGGCCGTCCTGCTCCGTCCGTTCCCTTTGTAGGGGCCGCGGCATGGCTCTTCGCTGAACTGGGGTTAGTGTGGCCTGAGTGAAACTTGACCGAGTGCCGGTGAGGGCTGTTTTTGGGTACCTCTGACCCAGCTCGCCGTCGTCTTCAGAAGGGGTACCGTGGGGCATGTCACTGGTGCTGAGGTTTCATGCACAAGAAGAGTATTTTACTACTGTGGGTAGTGTTTCCGTGTGTCTTGTGAGGGGAATTAGGAAAGTAGGGTGAACCTCAGCAAGTTGTCATTAGCCCAGATCAAAGCTAGTGACAATTAGGATTTAAAAGGTATTCACTGTATATTAGGGTAGGAAGGTTCTACAGAGGGATCTGGGTAGACTGGACCAGTGGGCAGAAAGGCAACCCTTTGAGGTCCAGCAAGACTGAGTGCTGCGTCTTGCGCTTTGGCCACAGTAAACTCATGCAGTGCTACAGGCTTGGGGCAGAGTGGCTGGTAGGCTGTGTGAAGAAAAAGAATGGGTGTTGGTCATCAGCCTGCTGAACATGAGCCAGCAGTGTGCCAAGGTAGCTGAGAGAGTCAACTGCATCTTGGTTTGTGTCAGAAGTAGTGCGGTCAGCAGTACCAGGGAGATAGTCATCCCCTGTACTACAGACTGCACCAAAGCTTTCAGTTTTGCACCTCTCACTATGGGAAAGGTGTTGAGACCTTTGCCTGAAGTCCAAAGAAGGACAGCAAAGCTGGTAAAGGATCTGGAGCACAAGTCTTATGAGAAGTGACTGAGAAAAGAGTAATTCAGTCTGGAGACTTCATTGCTCTCTACAGCCACCTGAAGAGAGGTTGTAGCAGAGTGGGGGTCAGCCTCTTCTCTCAGGTATCCGTGATAAGACACGGATGATAAGACATAAGACACCGTAATGACATCATTTTGTTCTGGGGAGGTTCAGGTTGGATATTAGGAATGATTTCAGAAAGAGCGGTGAAGCACTGGCACAGGATGCCCAGGCAGTGGTGGAGTCGCTGTCCCTGGAGATGAATTGTGTGAATGTGAAGGATGTGGTTAGTGGGGGTGGGCTGACATTTGGACTGGATGACCTTAGTGGTCTTTTCTAATCTTAATGATTCTATTGTTGGATTCTATGATACAGTATTACAGATGACTTTAAATCATCACGCAGTTTCTGGACTGCCTCTTCAGAAGAGCATTCTTGAAATAAACATGAGGCCATAGTGTGATCAAGGTGTTGATTTAACTGGGGCGGGCAAGATTAAATGCTGAACTCCAAACCACTCACTGCAGTCTGATGGGATAGTATTACATTGTCTTACATACGTATCATTTTGATTCATTTTTCTAAATTGTTCTTGACCTTTTACTTTGTTGCTGGTAGGGCACCTTTCCTCCTAATCCTCTGAGCGTGTCATGGAAGCTGTGTTGGTTTGTAGACAATAACATGAGAAGGACTTGGGAAAACAGTAGTGAAGAAAGAGAAATAGTTTCTTAATAAATTGTTAACTTATGAAAGGAATTCTCTATTAAACTTTTTTTTTTTGTATGTGTAAAAATAATATAAATTTCCATCAGTGTTCATGGATTCTAGTCATAGTAAGGAAATGGAATGTTAAATATAAAGAGGAAAATCATTTTCTAGGTCAGATTTCAATGTTTAAATTGTAGATGTCCCGTTTTGGAAGGCTTTGTTTTAAATAGAAGGTTAATTATAAATCATATTGTTATTTTGAATGCCTGATGGATGCAAAATTAAATAAGTGATCGATGTATATAGCTGACTGATGTCTCTGTCCTTCGTTAGCCTTCCAGCAGCGGCCGGGCTGCAGAGCTCCTCGCCAAAGAACGCGGAACAGTGCCTGGGTTTATCGGCTTTGGAACGTCGCAGAGTGATCTAGGTTATGTTCCTGCAGTTCAGGGTGCAGAGGAAATAGACAGCCTCGTGGATGCTGATTTTCGAATGGTCTTGCGAAAACTCTCTAAAAGGGATATCATAACAAAATTAAAAGTAAGTGTGTACTTTCTACCCAATTAAAAAAAATTATACTGGAAGAGTTGTCCTGATTTTCTGAGGGTTTGGAGAAGAATTTATCAAGGTATCCAGTCGTATGTTCCTGCAGTATATTTATTAGAGCTCCAGCACAGAAGATAATTTGAAAGACTTCTAAAGCTGCCCATCAGACAGTGCTGACAGAACATTCATAAAATTAACTCTATGGATGCTGAATTTCAAGAAATAAATTAAATTTTGAAAGCGAGTTGCAGTATCTCGAAGAAGCTAATAAACTGGAAAATGTGGCCATGTCTCAGTTCTTAAATCGTGCTTATATCTTTTTTTTTAGGCTATGCAAGAGTTTGGTGCGATGTGCAAAGAAAGAGAGGCAGAAGTTGTTAAAGGTGTTCTTCCTTACTGGCCAAGAATTTATTGTAAAATCTCACTAGTAAGTACTAAAGTATATAGATTAGAAATTTCTCTGAATGTTTTCTGTGAAAATGTGTAAGGTGGTCTTATTGATGTATCTTTTTTTGTTGGAATTTGTTGGCTTGATCTAGGAAGAAGACAATGAGGGAAAGTAGCATTCTTTGTTAGTGAGATGTTTCTGTATTGGCAGTGGGGTAACCTTCAGCTGTTGATGCCTGGGCTTTTTCTGTTGTTTGGACCTTGTTCTTTAATCATGATACCTCCGTCTGGAATGGCTACTCTTGAAAACATGATATTGATCAAAATGAATCGTTAGGATACATTGAAATCATTCCTGATGTTTCTTTTAGATGCCAAGAGCATAGAAAATATCATATAAATTGATATACAAATAACCATATATGCACAGACAAACTGTAGATAAGTGCACAATTTGTGTAGGCTTATGGTAGTTTCAATTCACAATGTCTTCAAGGCTTTCTGTTTTTGTTTCCTCCTGTGTTTTTGTTAAACGTTTGTATAAAACAGAGATGATGACTGTAGTTATATCTGGGAAAGGTTATGGTTCTGGATGTGTAATGTATCAGGAACATGTTGGTGTGGAGTTAGCACTCTTCTTTATTGGGGAGTGTTTGAATATTCAAATCTACATAGCTTGATTCATTGCAAAAAATGGCTGAAGTGAGAACAAGCTGCTTTTATTTCTGTGTGTGTGTGTGTGTGTGTGTGTGTGTGTGTGTGTGTGTGTGTGTGATTTCTTTGCTCTGAAACACTTGGCATCAGAAGTATACTTCTTTTTGCTTCAACAGGATCACGATCGCCGTGTTCGAGAAGCAACTCAGCAGTCTTTTGAGCAACTGATTCTTAAAGTGAAAAAACACTTGGCGCCTTACTTAAAAAGTATCATGGGATACTGGCTAATTGCACAATGTGACACTTACTCCCCTGCCGCTTCTGCTGCAAAAGAGGCTTTTGAAAAAGCTTTTCCTTCAAGCAAACAACCTGAAGCCTTAGCATTCTGTAAAGATGAAGTTCTTAATGTGAGTTGGTATTTCTTTAAGGCTTTGTGTGCACGTGTCAACTTCTATTCAAAGTTCAAAACTCAGCTTATCCCCACCTATTCATTGTTAAATTTCAGTAGGATAAATTTAGTTTTCACCTGAAGCTGTGCTCCTACTAATGTGAAGAAAAGGCTGATACAAAGATAACTCTTGTTTTTTGACATGTTGTTTCAATGGAACCATACAACCAGAAGAATTAATGGGATGAATGTTACTGTGTGCATTTCTCTGTAGTGTTGCTTGACATCAAATAATGTTTCTGACAGCTAGAATAATGATGCAGATTAGCTGCAGTAGTGATTAAAGAACGCTGAACACTCTCAGAAAGCCCCAACAGCTGGTATTGTTACCAAGTTCA